GCAGACAGGGGACAGGCAGCCTGGGAGTCAGGGGACCTGCCTTCCTGCCCTTGCTCTGAGAGGCTGTGCAGCCTCCGCAGGGCCCCAGGCTTCTCTGGCCCCCACCTCCTTTCTGGGAAGCAGCAGGTTTGCACACGCGGCTCGTGAGGTTCCCTTGCAGCTCTGACGCGCTCTGATGCACTAATGGGAGAAACCCAGGGGCGTGACAGGGCTCCGGGCCCTCTACAGTCCCCAGTCAAACATCAGCATCACTCTTTGAAAAATGTAAGCAGAAGACTTAATACAGAGTTAACAGCCTTTATTGCTGCAGCTTATCTTTGTACAAAAACTCACAAATACGGCGTTAAAATCTATATGTAGCATGTTTTCATGAATTTAATATTTTCATGACTGCCACGAAATGAAAGTGACACCGTACAACCATGAAGATGGCCACCTAGAGTACCCCAGCCCTACACTGTCCCTGTTCCATGCTCCCTGTGAAGGGAGTGGGTGACAGTCACAGACCCCTGCCCCAGGTTCCCCGAGCCCCTCCCAGGCTGTTGGCCCGCTGGGGAGGGGCAGCACCCACCGCCAGGCCCCATGGAGCTGTCAATCCTAGCAGCCTTTCAGCCTAGCAGCAGCTGATTGGTCCAGGGTGTGAGCACATGACCCAGTGTGGACCAAGCAGGGACCTTCCCTGGGAATCTTAGGAACTCCATCTTTTCCCAGTGGAGGAGCCCAGCTAAAAGGAAGACATGAAGACAGGCAGGCAGATGAAGAGCGAGCTGTCTGGGCCTGCGTCTTGTCTCTGTCCCTGGGCACAACTTTCACCCTCTCCCTGGAATGAGAGGGGTGGGGCTGGAGGCTGGACTGGGCTAGAGCGAAGGCAGGATGCATCCCCACCATCAGCATCTCTGTGAATTCAGCCACCTGTCCCCAAGGGGGGTGGGTCACTCCCAGCAGCACTTCCCCAGCACTCCCAAGCCCTGCAGGCACCCACTGGCCCCCAGGGCCTGGGCCCCACCTATTTGTCTGTCTCAGGGTTTGGAACCCGATGACTCTGCAAGGCACCAGCCATGTGACCCTAGGTAAGGCACCTCACCTCCTGCAGCCCCACTTTATCACTTGTGAAAGGAAGAGACAGGTGGAGGCATCTGGCCAGAGGAGCTACCAGCTCCATGCCATAGCACAGCCCTCTCTCTCATTTCTGCAATGAGACCACAAGCTCCTTGAGGGTCCCCACTGGGAAGGAGGCTGGAATTCTGTGGACAGAACATGAAAAGGGACATCTCCATGTCACACATGGCAACTGGGAAGCCAAAGACCACGTCTCAGCCATCAGCAAAGTAGCCCAGCGCCTCTGTCTCTGAGGCCCACACCACTCCTTGGGCCCACAGGGCCTTTCCTGCATGCTCAGACCCACCACATTTGCCTCCCATTTCAGACACCAGCGAAGGGAGCTGAGGTCTTCCGGACATGTCTAAGGGTTTAGTCTGTGAACATGATCAAGGCTCAGTTCATGGCTGGGATCAGGGCTCAGACTAGGACAAGGAAATGGGCTAAGTTTGCAACCAGCGTGAAGACCCATTAGAGCCCAGGATCAGGGCTCAGCATATGCCTGAAGTCATGACTCAGTCTATGACCAGTATCAGTGTTTAGTATGTGACTGGGATCAGGGCTCAGTGTCTGGCCCAGGTCAGGGTTCAGAGCTCCAACTATGACCTGGGATAGGAGCTCAGTACATGACCAGGGTCCCGGCTCAGGCTGTGAGTGCAGAATGAGGGTTAGCAAGGGAGGAGCCATCCTGCACGCCTGCCAAGCTCCCATACCGCGTGCGCCATCAGAGCGGCGTCTGCAGAGGAGAGTTCCGGAGAACCTGGCTGTCGTTTCTGACAGCAAGGCACACTTGTTTTGCCTGAGTTTTTTCCCTTCCCCTACCCTCAGCCCAGCCAGGCAGCAGGGGAAGGTGTAATTAAAAATCAGGTTTGTTAACACGAACACGACGTACATAATATTTAAAACATCCAAGCGTCTTTAACTCGGTACCAACGTGCATTTGCTCATTAAGCAGGATTTTTTTTATGGCAGCAACACTGCAAATAGCTCTTATTAAAATGCTCAAAACACCATCTGGTCCTTAGCTGAGCCTCCGAAGCATCGCGGAGGTGGCCCAACATGCCTGAAGACCTGGAGATTCCCAGCAGGACAGCAAGACTGGCTTCCCCACCAACTCCCCAGGCACCCTGGGGTCCCAGGTGCACCTCTACTCACCTTGCCTCGCCTTGCCTCAGCTCCTGGCACCTCCATTTTGCAGACAAGGGTATGGAGGCTTGGAGGCAAGGAACCACCTGCCCGGAATGTGCGGCTAATAGGAGAAGCAGCCCAGTGTAAGCCGGAGTTTTTCTGACTCTGGGCCCAGGCTCTCTCCAGTGAGGACCTGGAGGCACGGAGGAGGAAGGAGCGTGGTAGCCTCAGCATTTGGGTAAGGGGACCCGGGGTCAGTAAGGTGGTCACTCTCCCACTGCAGGACGTCCACCAAGAGACACCATCCCCAGGGCTCAGTGGGTCGGGGCAAGAGCCCACCCTTCAGGAGGCTTACAAGGGAGACATGGAAAGTGTTTTGCAAACTGTACCAGGAACACTTCATTAGTTCACCTGGGGTGCTCCAGCTAGGGCTGGGGCAGGGCCGTGAGTCCCCCTGGAGCTGGGCGGGTGGCCTGCTGGGGGACCCAGGGGATTTTTGCCAAATCTGCTAGCTCTTGGGCTCCAGGTCTACCAGGGCAGGACCCTGCTGCCAGCTGAGCTGAGGGAGTTCCCATGCCCATGCAGCTCTGAGCCACAGGAGAGGTGGAGTCGGCCCCACACAGGCCCAGGTTGGAGGCTTCCCTTAGTCTCCTCTCCTTCCAGCCCCTGTGTCTCTCCCTGCTCCCACCTGCTCCCTCCTCCTTCCTCTGCCCACTCCCACACACTCTTGGGCATGCTCCGTGCCTCAGGCCCGTGACAGGACAAACACAGACACAGGAGAGACCCTCCCCACATACCCTCAGGTATTCACAAGCCAAAGAAAGGCCAAGAGCCTGCTGACCTCAGTGACATGCAGGCTGCCAGACCCCGTCCACACTCATGGCAGACATTATCAATCCATCATGGTGTTCCACACCATGGCAGGCATCACCAATCCATCAGGATGCATGCCCAACTGAGCCGAGAACTCCCTTCAGGAACTTTCTCAACACATCGCCAGAGAAGGCTCACACCCAAGGACCGGCTGCTGCATGCAGTATGAAACCTGCCTGTCATCCCCCAGTGACATGGGTCTGGGAGAGGTCAGGATCCAGCTCATCCTGAGTTCTAGTGGACATCTCATGTCACCTTGGTGACCACAGAGCATTCCGCGTCTGGCCCTGTGCATCTAGGCCCACGAGACTCAATCCTTCTGGGAACAGATGAACAGAGGGGCAGTCACACAGAGTGATGGCAGTGCTGGGACAAGCCCGGGGGATCCCCAGTGTGCAGTTTGAGTAGGATGTGGGGAGGCTTCCTGGAGGAGGCATGCCAGGGTGAGGATGTACGGTTGAGGACCATCTGAGCCACAGAGAGAGAAAGAAGAGTGGGGAGGTGAGCAGGCTCCTGGTGGGGGCAGGCGGGGGCGGGAGAACCGGAAGACTCCTCACTGTCTGGCTGCACAGATGGCAGGGCCATCTTGAGAAAGGCCCAGCGGGGAAAGCTAGTTCGGGAAGGATCGCTAGTCTCATTTTGCCTTTGGGCCATTTGTGGAGCTCCGAGGTACATGCCGCAGACCCACTGAAGTAGGAGTCAGAGGCTCTGAAGCAGGAGAGGGACCACAGCATTGGGCCATGGAGGGTGTGGGAGGAGTGGGCAGGGTCACACTGGAAGGAAGGCCAGCGAGAATCGCAGTGAGATCAGCCAGGATGTGGAGTGACAAGGGAAGGGCCTCAGAGCACTGACCTGCCTGCTGCTGCAATCCACAATGCGGCCACCTCCGCCCTTCCCAGGAGGGCCTTATGGACATAGAGGAACTTACAACCAGAAACCCAAGCCACGCCCCCAGCTGGCGAGTCCTCTGAGCCCTCTCAGTCTGTTTCCTCCTCAGTAGGATGTGCATAAAAATGACAGAGCTCAGAGAGTTCCTGCGACAGAGGGGGGCGCGGGGGTGAGGCAGCACAGGGCTTCCAGAATTACAAGAACTCTGTTACCCATGTACAGAAACCACAGCAAGTGCAGGCACCTGGAGATACACACAGGCACACACAGAGGCACTGGCACACGTGCATGTGTGCTTCCACGACACGTCTACACACACTAGCAAGCGATGTGCACACCTGCATGCATGCACAGGTGCACACACATACGCATATGCAAAGCATGCGTGCACCTGTGCCGATGCAAACACGTGCACATTCGCAGAGTGCCCACGACGCGGCACAGCCACCCATTGTTCCCACATCTCGTGTGTGACCACAGTCCATAGCAACAGACACACAGACGTGGTGCTCCATTATAAGAAAATAACGACCAGCTATTCCAGGTAATAAACTGATTTATGACTTATTGCAATAAAATGAAAATATGGAAGCAGTGTTAAAATGAACGACGTGCAGAAACTCCTCTCTACCTTCCCCTCAATCTGTCCTTGGGTCCTGTGAAGGGAGCCTGGCCCAGATCCCACAGGATAATGTCCACAGATAATGCCCCCAGATAACTCAACCCCATACCTCCTCCTACCCTGACTGCTCTCCCCACTGACCTGAGAACCCTGGAGGCCGCCCACCCTGGAGATGCTGAGGACAGACAGAACCTGGCATGTGGGCTCAGCTGTGGGCCTGGGGACTTGGTACGCAAGGGGTGTCTTTCCCCCACACTCTGTGTGACTGCCCCTCTGTTCATCTGTTCCCAGCAGGATTGAGTCTCGTGGGCCTGGATGCACAGAGCCAGACGTGGAATGCTCTGTGGTCACCAAGGTGACATGAGATGTCCACTAGAACTCAGGTGGTAAGTGGCAGTTTTTAGAAAGTGTCAACTTCTTCCCAGCTATTGCTGCCAAAAAACGGAAAAAGAAAAAAACCTCTTGGTTTCAAGGAAACTCACAGCAACATCAGAGAAGCGCGTGAACATTACGGATGGGCTCAACTCGCTGAGCACGCAGCAAAGGCCCGGGGCCTCAAGTTTGTCACATGCATTTTGGAGTCGCTGAAGTGGGCTGGAGCCGGCCAGGGACCTCTTCCGGGTCTGGCATTGTTCCTCCCCAGGCGACACTGGGCTTCCAAAAAGGAACCGTCTTTTATGTCTCTTTATTCCCAGGAATAATGGCTCTCGACAAAAACGACTCCTGCTAGCACTTAGCTGTGATTAATGTAGAAGCCGCGGCAGAGTGGAGGAAGTTCCGTGGTGGGGGCGGGTGACAACCGCACATTCATGGGTTTGGAACAAACACTGGAATGAAGGAGCCAGGAGTTTTCCGGGATGTTTTCCAAAGCCTTGGCCTGGGACTGGGCAGGGGGCACAGGGTGGCCAATGATCAAGGGGAGGGCTGGCGTCAGAGTGCTGAGGCCCGCCCCAGGGTGGCCCCACAGTCATGGACACAGGCACCGTGGGGATCAGACCCGAGCCCTGACGGCTGGGGAACCGGGCCCTGGGCTGACACGGACACGTGCATGTCTTCTGTAATCTGCAGTGATCTTCTGAGGTGGTGCCCGTCACCCCATTCCACAGATGAGAAGTTGAGGGATTCTGCCAGGCCACAGGGCAGTCATTAGCAGCATGGACATTGGAACCAGAAACCTGCAGTGTCACTCTCTGCCTGCCATTGCTGTGTGCCTTAGTTTTTCCAACTGTGAAATGGGGGGATGATGGGCTCCACCAGATCTGGGGCTGGGGTGCTCTCATGTCTGCCCCTGACACACCATCACCCTGGAGCCAGCTAATCTATCCACCTCTCATGGGGCCCATACGGGACCCAGAGGGCGCCTGAATGTCAGAATGCCCTGAAAGCCTCCATACTCCCACAGTCCTCAGTGGCACACAACAGGGCCTGCTGGAAGCTGCCCATCCCGGGCCTCCACCTGTCCCTGATATTCCTCCTGGGCTCAGGGAGAAGACAGGGTGCCCTGGCTGTCAGGAACCCCTTCTTGATTGCATTTCAGGGCTGGGTAGGGCTCGGTAATCAAGTGCTACAGGGCACTCATCACCCACCCGGCAACAGCCCAGCCCTCAGGCCTGAAATGGGCCCAGCAACTTCTGCCAAGGACAGCCCCACCCCAGCGACAGGAACCCACACTAGGCCAAGAGGCAGCCGGCCCATTTCGCAGATTAGAAGCCCAAGGGCCTGCAACAAGCAGGGGCCCCAGGTGCACCTCCCCAGGGGCACTTCAAGCACCTCAGCCACCCACAGGCAGGTCCTCCATCCTCTCCCAGCCTGTGTCCCCGAGTGCCGTTTGCCCGCCGAATTTATGTGCTGAGCCCACCACCTGCCCCTGGACACCTGGGACTCCCCAGACAGCCCCCAGCACCCCCATCTCAGTGCACAGAAACCCCTCCCCTCCCACCGCCCCAGCCCCAGCCTTGCCAGCCTGACCCTCTCTCTGAGTTTGCGTCTGCCCTTCAGGAATCCCTACTGGCTCCATTGCCAGAGGACCCCTGAATCTCCACGGCCTCTGACACCACCAACCCCACCCAGCAAGAGAGCCCGCAGCACTCCTCAGCACGGCCCTGAGCACCTCCCACCTCTGCCCCAAACCATCCGGCCCGCGGCAGTGAAGCAGCGTGTCTCAGACTTACTTTCCTTACCACTGCCCTCTAACCTGAGGAACCTTTATAGACTTATTTTAATTTGCGCCCCCCATGGAATTTTCAAACCACAGACAATTACACATCTGTTTATGTGCCGTGTGAGTATCTGGGCTCTCTACATAAAGAGTAAGATTTCTTCACGCCCCAAAAACCAAACACTCCCCTTGGGACTGATGCCACCCCCTTGGGAATGCTTGTTCTAATTGATGAATGAGATCATGGCACTTCTTGGCTCCAGACCCACCCAAGGGACAAGTCCAAGTTCCCTCCATCAGGCCTGGGCCTTGGAGCCGCCAAGTTCTCCAATTCTGCCATCATGGGCTGGGGGCTCAGGCCTCCCTCTGGCCTCCAGATACCTGCATGTGTGTTCCCTCCTCCTGGGCTCCCCGTCAGCAGCTGTCTCTGTCTCCACAGAGTCCTCCTTTCCCTGGGGCTTCTGCTCAGGAAGGCCTCCGGGAAAGGATGCCCCCACCCCCACCCTCAGGCCAGCTTGATGCCCTTGGAAGCACTTTTCTTGCTAAGATGGCATGTACTCCCTCATACCCTGTGCTCCATCTTTGGGAGGGCCAGGGCTCCTGCTAGGTCCCGGGCCAGAGACCAGTGTCTGAAATGCAGCAGGTAATCACGTGCTAAAAGAGGAAGCTTCCTTGTAGGCAGATGAGGAAACTGAGGCACAGATGAGGAAACTGGCCACTCAGCCAAAGCCACACATCCACACCTGCAGACTCCAAAAGACACCTGGGTTTGCAGCAGAGTTGACGGGGCAGGTGGCAACCTAAGTGGGCACAGAGGGTCCGTGCTCAGAAGGGCCCAGCCAGCTTTGATGCACAGCCACTGCCAAGCCAAATCTTACTCGTTTTTCCACAATGGCCTTGCATTGCATTTCACACTGGGCCTGCACGTTACACAGCCGGTCCTGCCTGCTGGATCCTCCGCTGCTCAGGAGAGGCTAGATTACCCTGTGAGAAAGCCTTCCTAAACTCTCAGGGGCTGAAGCCACAACGGCTTGCCTCTCACCCACACAGCAGGTCCCTTGCCTTGGGCCAGCCCAGGACTCAGGTTGTGCAGGAGCCAGTGTCTGGAGCACAACCAGTGGCAGACAGAAAGAGGGCTCAGAGGGTCTCACGCTGGCCATAAAGGCTTCAGCCCAGAAGTGAAGTGACAGATCATTGTGCCTACAACTCATCGGCCAGCACTGGTCACCTGCTGACCTCCCACACACAGGGGTCAGGAAGAGCAGCGTGCCCTGTGAAGTGCCAGAAGCCAGCACAGAAAGTGCACGATGAACTGCACGGGCCATCACACCGAGCCCGCGGCCCCGGCCTTGGCATTGAGGTCTTCATCCAGGCAGCTGCCTCCCGGCTCCCAGCCCTCATTGTCATGTCAGCCCCTCACGCCTTTGCCGAGGCTGAACATCTAAAGGGGAGAGACACAGAGTAGGTCCTCACAGCAACTCAGTTAATCCTCCATCGGAAATTCTCACACAATCAATTTGAGGAGCTGGCCAACATCATAACTCAGTAATTAGGAACAACTTTCAAACTCTGGGCTTCCTTTGAAGATTGTAATTGCAATTAATTAAACATCCTCGCTGCACCTCAGAGTCGATTCCCAGGAAACCAGAGCAGGGGCAGGGAGGGGGGGGTGCCCAACCCGTCTCCAGCGGCCCCGGAATCAAAGGGGGAACCTGTCTCCTTTGAATATCGAAGGGCACACAGTCTCTGAGGGCAACTGGGGAGGTGGAAAGCACCTGGCCTCTCAATTCCAGCCAACACCCCAGACTCCTGCCCTCCCTCTGGGGCTCCACCTGTGCGCAGAATGGGCGGGACCCCAGGATGGCCCAACCCCTCCATTCAGCAAGCTTCTATCCCAGGCACGTTGGCATATTCAGAAAATACTGACTGAGCGACTCCTGCGCTTGGTCACGGTTCTTGGAGCAAGGCCTTCCAGGGAGTGGAAAAAGGTCCAACACCATGACTTGCGGGCTGCTGTGCCCTTGGCAACTCCAGCTCCCTGTCAAGGCTGGTGTGCTCTGGGCTGAGCTGAAGAGACAGCAGGCAACCCTGACTCCAGGGAGGATAAGAGGCACCCTGCAGGGCAGCTCTGTTCTCTGGGCAGAGGGGGATAGCCAGCCCAGGTTAAGACAAGGGGACAAGTAATAGCCACGTTTACAGAGCATGGCATGGGCAGGTGCCCGTCTGGTCACACCAGCTCATCATGGCCACACACCAGACCTGCTTCTGACTCCCGTCTTACAGGTGAGGACATGGTACCTCAGAGATGTCCAGAGTCTTGTCCAAAGCTACACAGCTGCCAAGAGAGAACCTGTGTGCTTCTGACTCCAGAGCTCTCTAAACACAAGGGCCAGCTGATGCTGGGGAGAAGCCCATGGCCCCCTTAGCCCCGGGGAAGGTGTCTGTGCCAGACTCCATGTGGGGCAGGGAGCATGGCCCATCACGGGGAAACAGCCGCCCTCTCTCTGTGGGGCTTTCTCTGTGCCAGGCTGGAATCGAAGCCAAGTTCTGTCATCTCGCAGAGCCTGTGCTCACAGCAGCTGGCTCCCAAGGAAATCGCCATGATATGTCCACATGTGGAAAGCCAGGCAGCTGGAGGGGACCACAAAGCCAGAGTGAAAGGGCAATCTCCCCAAAATGGCATGTTTAGGAAAGTCTGAACAACGGGGCACAAATGTGCTTTGAGCATCCCAGCAGCCATAGCAAAAAGGGCAATGTGAGGGGTATCTGGCTCGCTCTCTCTGTGATGGAGGGGAGCAGGGAAACTGAGTCCCAGGAGGCATTACCCAGGCTCTCATCCAAGGAGCAATGCGGGAAGTGTCTTGTCATACCCTCCCAGCCCTCCATCTGCCAGCTCCTGGAAGCAGGAAGCATCTTCCCTCCGTGAATACCCAGCCTCTGCACCGGGCACAGCACAGAACACGTGCTGAAAAAACAGATTATCGACGCTGCTTTACACAAGAGACAGAGACTCCAGCCTGGGGCCATTTCTGATCATGCTTTTCTATGGGAGCAGCATGTCTAACTGGAAGGCGGGCAGGGATTGAGCAGAAGTCAGCCCTGGGAGCAAATCCCAGGCTCATGCCACTTGGCTGTGCTAGACACGGTCAGCTCCCCCACTGTGGGCCACACAGTGTTCTGGATCTTATTGTCATAATCCAGCCAACGTCACCCTGCACAGGTGACATTGCACAGACTCAGGCAACAAAGGCCTAAGCCAGTCAAGGCATGGTACTCCCTGGGCCACAAGGATGGTTCAGGATTGGGCACATGACCCAACTGGACCAACAGGTCATTTGAGGAGGCTTCCAGGGCTTTCTAGGACATGAGACAGCAGCTCATCTTCTGAGACAGCTTATGGAAGCCGGTGGCCTCTGGCCTTCTCAGTGGCCAGGCAGGCTGTGTCATCAGGAGCTGCCTGTACCACATTGCCACTAATGAGGACGCCAGTCTGAGGGCAGAACTGGCATCACAGAAGACTAGGGCCTCCATGACAACACTGAGCCCCTGGATCAAACCTTCCCTGAAGTTCATCTTATTTCTGAGTGTTCCAATTACATGAACCACCCAGTCCCTTTTGTGGTTTAAGCCAGTCAGAGCTTCAAATGACATACTGCTCTATCTGCTCCAGCCTCAAACAGCCCTGGTTCCCATTCTTCGACCCTCCAAGCTCTGTTTGATTCCCCAGCCTTTGCCCACATGGTCCCCTCGGCCTGGAATGTCCTCCCCCAGCATCCACAAAACTGGCTGCTCCTCATCCTCTCATTCTCAGCTTCAACACCAGGTTCTTCAGGGTGAATCGCCCCTCTGGCCACCCTATGTGAGGTACAGTCAGTCATTCATCTTTTTCACAGCACTTACTGTACTGCTTCACCGTGTTTTTTCCGGCTCGATTGCTGGCCTTGGGTCTGGGTTCCCAGACCAACTTTCTCACACTAGCGTTGGTGAAGGACCAAGGTTTTTGTTTCCAATCTGTCCCAGCCCCAAACTGTTGTAAACTACTTTAAAAATAAATTTCTAGAAAAATGTAGTTTAAAAAAGCACAAAGTACAAACCCCACATTGATCTTGTCACTCTGCAGTCATAAAATTACTCTGTCAAATTGTTATCAACATTTCTCAGTGGTCACTGTGAGTTGCTGTTTTCAGGGGATGTGGATGCGTAGCCCCATGGGCAAGCCAGACTGCCAGTGATGACGAGGAGGTTAGTGCTTGGCCCCACTGTCCCTGGGCGGGGCGGTTCTGGGTATGCATTGAGCTGTCTCCTGGGGGCCCCCATGGGACTGACCTCCACACCCTCAGGGGTAACCTGCTCCCATCACACCCTTCCTGGCCTCCTTCCCTGCCTGTCTGGCATCCTCACTCCCTTCCTGTGTTTCCAAGGACCACATCCCAAATAACCACTTGCACCCGAATCCATGTTCAGGGACTGCTTCTGGGGACCCCAATTCATATATAATATAGGATGCATAGTACTTAATGTCATTGTAATATAGGATACATAGTACCTAATGTCATTGTCACAGTTGCCCCATCCGGATTCAAGTGCATGGTCATTATTGCAATGTAACTGTGTATCTGTAAAACTGAAGAAACAAGGCCCTGGGTGGGAGGAGCCTGGAGTAGGGGCTGGCATCTCAGTTGAGGTCGGTGGCAGCAGAGGAGGGGAGGCTGAAGACACCTCTTCCCAGACCAAGGCTTCCTTCTCCTCCAGAGATAAGTGACCCTTCTCACAACTAGCAAAATCAAGCCAGGGTTTGGAAAAACCTTTTGTCCCCATGACTGGGATGTGTTAAACCACTCCTGGATTAGGAATAAAAGAAAAAAAACACCCGGATTCCACCTGCACTTGAGCAAGGACGTGGTCTCCCCTGCACACCTGAGTTCCAAGCTCCCAAGCACGAGCCAGGGCACCTTCCTGAAGGCCACTGGGCCTCCCTGCTTGGTGTTCTATGGGGGGGAGGGGGAGGAGGAGGCGGCAGCCAGCCGGGTCTTAGTCATTTGTCCTTACCACCAGCCGGCCCACAGCAGAGCCAGGTCTCTGGCAGGAGTCTGTCAACTGCAGAAGGAGGTGGCCCAGGGCAGAGGCCAGGTCACTGCTGGCCTCGCTGGGCTGAGCAAACTCTCTCAGCCCCACATGGGGGAAGCAGCAGGCAGCCCCTCCCCAGGGGCAGGGAACGAGGAGGCTGCAAGTGAAGGGATGGTGCCTCGTGGCACCCGCTCCTTGGCCTCCCACGGCCCCACACATGCTCTCCACTTCTTTCTTTTCTCTTCCTGTGCTCTGCAGCCTCACCCCTTCTCCCGGCCGCCTCCCCATCCTGCTGTTCCTCTATCCTGGGAAACTGGAAAGCTGCTGGACTTGCAGTCTGCACATAGGGAACTAAATCCAAGCTGTTCCCTGGAGGCGTAGGGCCTTGGTCTGCCGGTCTTTGGGATGGGGACGCTAGTCCCCACTGCAGAGCCGTGGGGAAGATCCCAGGGCGTGGCACTCAGGATGGAGCCCGGACCCCCACCCAGCTTACAGGTCCTCTTCCCTCTGACCAGGGCCTGCCTCCCTCGCGGTTCCCATTGCGAACACATGCTCACTGCGCCTTCGGACCCACACGGCTTCCCAGTCCCCGCCAGGCCCAGCCGGTCAGGCCTGCCTGGGTGTGCGCAGCAACGGGCCGAGCTCGAGCTCGGGAGAGCGGATAACTATTTATTCTGTGCATTCTCGGGGCAGCAGCGGGGCCTGGGTCAGTCTGGGGGTGCCGTCGTGGGGCGCGCTGGCCTCGGACCCCGGGAAGGCGGCGGCTGCGGGGCCGGGCGGCAGCAGGACGAGGCCTGGCCCGGGGCCCGCGCGCGCGGACATAGCTCAGGGCCAGCTGCTCCAGGCGCCGCTTACGCAGGGCAGCCTGTGCCGTGGCGTGCAGGGGCCGCAGCAGCGCTGGAGGCGACGCGCCCGGGCCGCGCAGCAGGAAGTCAAAGCCCGAGCGGTCGCGGGGGTCGTAGAAGAGCGGCCCGCGGGCGGGGTCGGGCCCGGGCGGCCAGGCGAACGGGAAGGGTAGCGTGAAGTCCTCGGTGAGCACGCGGATGGAGAAGTCGTCCTGCTTGCCCAGCGCGCGGTAGGCGTGCCGGATGCCGCGGAAGTGCGCCTCCCAGAGCTGCGCGTCCCCGCTGTAGATGTCTGGGAAGGCGGGCTCCGGGGGCGCCGCGGGGCCTGCGGGCGGAGGGGACGGTGAACGCCTGGCAGGGCGGGGAGGGCGGGGAGGGTCGGGAGGGGGCCACCGTGCGACGGGCTAAGGCGAGGAGGCCGGGTGCGCAGAGAGGTGGCGAGTCTGGAAGAAGCCGGGGAATGAGCTGGAAAGGCAGAGATGGGGATGACCAGGCTGACCTGGTGATGAGGCGAGGTCGGGCCCCGCATTTCTGAAGGAGCAGCGCCAGCAAACCAGGAAGAGTGGGAGGTCCTGGGCGCACGTAAGGGGATGGTCACTGAGTACTCTGGGCAGAGCGTTCCATGGGGAGGAGGCTGCAAAGTTTGGCCAGCCTGACCCTGTGGGGATTCTGAGCGAGCTGAGGATGTTGAGGTTCACCCTGAAGACTGGCCAGCTTGGGGCAGGAGTGAAGCGGTCACTCTCAGTTGAAAGTTTATCCTGGCCACTGTGCAGAGAATGGACATTGGGAGCCCAGCGTCCAGGTCTGGTCAGATCCAGGGGAGGGAAAGATGAACATGAGGATGGGAAACACTCCCTGGGGAGAGGCTGCAGGGCCGAATCGACAGGCCTTGTGGACCGAGGAGGGCAGGAGCCTGCAGGGACAGCCTGGTTCCCTGCCTGGACACAGCTACCCTGGGATCCAGAAGGAGGTGCAGCCCCAAGGGGAAGAGGAGGTGGAAGGGGAGTTTGGTTTTGGCCCAGTCATGCCCCCCTTGCAGCCTATCCATGGTCCCCAGAAGGCACCCAGGTTGCTGACCCATGGTCCACACCCTGCCTGGGCTGCTGTGCCCAAGTCTAGGCCCTCCACTGTGGAAAGATCCCTTCATTCTTTATTTCATTCATTCAGCAAATGTGCTTAGCTCTGGGGATCCTGAAGTGAGCAAAGCAGCCATGGGACCTCACTTGGGCATACAGTCCAGAGAGGAATGTAGTCAGGCCCCAGGTGGATGCAGGAGACAGACCAGGCAGCTCCCTGGGGAATGGCCACACTGGGAGGCTTGGAGATGGGAATGGAGGAATGTGAATCCTCAGCTCCTCCTCCCAACACCCCTGGGAGGGGTAACAATATTCAGTCTGTTTTAGTGGTGAAGATACAGACCCAGAGAATTCATACACAGATACCGAGCCAAAGCCCCTGGTCTGGGCAATCACTTTCCAGTATGCCATGCTCTAGATCAAGGGCCTCCTGGTTAAGAGTCTCCTCTCTCCACACAAATACTCACTGAGCACCTACTGTGTGCCAGGCAGGCTCTGTTTGAGCCATCAGCTGCAGCCGTGAGCAGCACAGACTTGGGGGGTCCTTCCTTCTACCAGTCAGAGCCTGGGCTAGTCTTTCACTTTCCATGAGCCTCTGAAAATGGGGCCAACCAACCCTGTTCTGCTGCCCTTGCAAATAAGATGACATTGACCAGCCTGTTTGATTTAGGGAAGTAGTTCCCTAAATCAGTACCTTGGACAGCGCTATGCTGGTGGTAGGCGTGAAGCCCCAGCCTGGAAAGGGTCTGGCTCACAAGGAGCCTGGACTGTTGGGTGTGTAGCCTCTGACCTGCAGAGGTAGCCAGCCTGTCCTGACCACCTGGCCGCCTTCCCCTACAGGCTTCCAGGGCAAGCAGCTGGAGGCTACCCTGACATCCCACCCATTGGCCTGGCTTCCCCTCAGTCCCAGCTGGCGGGGCAGGCAGTCAGAGGAGGGGCTGTGGGGTGTTGCCGTAGGTAGGGCAGTAAGGAAAAACTTTGGAGAAGATGGGATTGTCTATGGAACCCCAAAGAGAGGAGAAGGCCACTGTTCCATCGTGGCCCCAGGGCATGGGAAGAGTGACCTTCTAAGATCTGCATTTCACCAGGTGGGTCTGATCACTGTCTTGCAGACAGGTGGAAGAGGGCAAGGGAACATGAGGTCACCAGGACAGTCATTGTGGGGGAGAAGCTGGTAGCTTGAGCCAGAGCAAGGGCAAGAAATGCTCAGATTCTGAATACGACTTGAAGATAGAAAGGGCGGGATTTGATGAGGGATGTAGGGTGGGAGCATGGGGGAAGAGGGTTTGGACCTGAGCAACAGGAAGCAAGGAGGTGCTGTTAACTGAGGCAGGGACGGCTGGGAGAGGGGCAGGCTGGGCTGGGGGGTCAAGGGCTTAATCTTGGGCAGGTGGACCTCTGGATGGGCAGGGGAAGAGGCTAGGGAGGCGGTGCAGTGGCCAGATGGCTGTGCGAGTTTGGAGCTGGGGAGGGGGTGAGGCTGGAGATAGATACTGGGAGATGATGTTTAAAGCCACGAAACTGGATGAATCACTGCGGGGGAGGGGGGCGGTTAGAAAGGGAAGATGCCCAAGCACAGAGCCTAGGGTCCTCCCTCCTGACGAGGTCAAGGAGATGAGGAGCCAGTTAGGGCACCGAGAAGGAACGGGCAGTGATGAAAGTGGGAGCTCCAGAAACCAAGTGTGGGGGCGGTGACCCAAGCCTTGTGCTGCCAATACAGTACATCCAATGAAGCCCTGCAAGTAACCTCAGACTCCCCAGCACAGAGGTCATTTGTGGCCTTTGCCAGAGCTGCTTTAGCAAAGCACTGGAAATTAAAGGCTGGTGAGAGCAGGTTCAAGAGCAAATGGGAGGGGAGAACGTGGAGGCAGCAAAGACAAACGACCTTCCTGAGGTTTGGCTCTGAATGAGGAGCAGAGAAGTAGGGCAGGAGCTGGAAGGGAAGTGGGGTCAAGGGACAGGATAAATCACAGCATGCTTTCATGCCAGTGGGAAGGATCTGGGAAAGAGCGGTGTCAGGATGCAGGAGAGAGAGGGTGAAGAGTTGCTGGAGGGACAGCGTGAGTGGGAGGGAGGGGATGGGAGAAGCTGAATGCTGGCTTTGGCTGGGAGGAGGGTCGGGCATTCACAGGAACAGGCCGGGGCGGACAGTGCCCAGGAGCACAAGGGCAGATGGGTGGGCACCTGCAGAGTCCTCTTCCAATGGCTTCAGCTTCTCAGGGAAGGAGGGCACAAGGCCAGCAGCACAATGTGAGGAGAGAGAGGATGGGGGCTTAGAGAAAGTGAAGGTGTGAGGTGGTTGCTAGGCAAGGAAAGGCTGGGCAGACCAGGGAGGGCAGCGGAGTCATCCTCCTTGCTGCTGCAGGCCGGTCAAGTGCAGGCATTAGCAAGGCAGAGCTCACCCAGCTGCAGCCCACTGCAAGGGCACAGGCAAGGGGAGCAGGGAGTTGGAGCTATCAGACTAGTACAGGAAAGCAGGAGAGGGGCCAGCGAGAGAGTGGAGGGAGTGCAGGCCACAGCAGAGATGTGAGTAGGGGTGGATGGAAGGGGCCCTAAAGAATGAGGAGGCTGGACAGGTGGAAGATGCGTGGGCTTCTGTCTCACTAAAGGAGTGCTGGAGCTGGCCCTTGAGGGCAGGAGCTGGGGCAAAAATCCCTAGAGTGCGGTGGGGACAGGGGACTACAGTTTGGGTACAGTTTGGGGGACTGGGTGGCTGGGTGGGGAGAACAAAATCCTTGGAGGAGTCCAGGGGGCTGAGAGAAATCACCAATGTGATGACAGGAGAGCTGAGGAGGGAAGGGCAGGGGCCAAGGTCTTCAAGAGTGAGGGAAGATTGTGGGCAAGGTACATGGATGGGTGGGCAGATGAGTTGTGGAGGGGTGGGTGGATGTATGGGTGGATGGGTGGATGAGTAGGTGGATGGCTGGGTGGATGGATGGATGGATAGGTGAATAGATGGGTGGGTGGGTGGATGAACAGGTGGGTGAATGGGTGAATGGATATGTGGGTAGGTGGGTGGATGGGTGAATGGATGGATGGGTGAATGGGTAGGTTAATGGGTGGGTGAGTTGGTGAGTGGATGGATAGGTAGGTAGATAGGTGAGTGGGTAGGTGGGTGAGTAGATGGATTTGTGGATGGATGTGTAGGTGGGTGGGGGTGGGTGGATGGATGGGTGGGTGGGCGGGTGAGTGGGTGGATGGATGGGTGGATGGATGGATGATGCATGGATGGATGCATGGACAGATGGATGGATGGGTGGGTGGATGGGTGGATGGGTGGGTGGGTAGATGGATGGATGGGGAAATGGGTGGATGGGTGGGTGGATGAATGTATGGATAGGTGGATGTGTGGGTCGGTGGGTGAATGGGTGGGTGGGTGGATGGATGGATGGATGGATGGATGGGTGGGTAGATGGGTAAGTGGGTGAATGGGTGGGTGGATGGATGGATGGGTGAGTGGGTGGATGGATGTGTGGGTGGGTGGATGAATGGGTGGATAGGTGAGTGGGTGAGTGAGTGGGTGCGTGGATGGATGGGTGGGTAAATGGGTGGGTGTGTGGATGGATGTGTGGGTGGGTGGGTGAAAGGGTGGGTGGAGGGGTGGGGGGTAGGTGGGTGGAGAGGTGGACGGGTGAATGAATGGGTGGGTGGTTAGGTGGATGGATGGGTGGGTAGATGGGTGGGTGGGTGAATGGATGGGTGGATGGATGTGTGGATGAATGTGTGGGTGGGTGGATGAATGAGTGAATGGGTGAATGGGTGGGTGTGTGGATCGGTGGATGGATGGGTGGGTAAATGGGTGATAGGGTGGTTGGATGTGTGGATGAATGTGTGGGTGGGTGGGTGAATGGGGGGGGTCGAGGGATAGAGGGGTGGAGAGGTAGGTGGATGGGTGGGTGGATGGGTGGATGATTAGGTGGGTGGTTGCATGGATGGATGGGTGGGTGGGTGGGTGAATAGATGGATGGGCGGGTGGGTAGGTGAATGAATGGTTGGCTGGTTACCCGTACTGCTGCCTCTGAGTTCCAGAGCTGGGTTTTAGAAGAGGCAAGGGCAAGAGAATGATCTGGAAGAGACACTAAAAAGTAAGAAAGACCCTGCACACCTCCAACTCCTTAGATCCAAAGGCTTCAGGAAGAGAGCCAACCCCTTCCCTGTTAACTTCAGAGCATTGGAGCATTGAGGAGAGTAGAGAGAAGGACCTTTAGGGGGAGGCTTTGATGCCCCCATCATGGCCTGGCCCACTGCCACTCTCCTTCATGACCTTGGCAAAGCATCTTCTTCTGGAAGACGGGTGAGAAGGCTGCTTCCTGCTCCCACATTGTCAGTACCCCCAGGTGCCCGTCTCCCTTCCCCTCTACTCTTCCCCCTCACCAAGTGTCTCACCTGGAGTGGCTACAGAAGGCGGGGTCAGACCTGCCGGGCTGGGGGGCCCCAGGACAAGGGAAGCCATGCCAGCAGCCTGGGTGCAAGCTTCTGTTTACCTTGGCTGCCCAGGAAACGGGGAGGGGCCTCCGAGGGAGGCCAGAACCTTGCATTTAAAGGGCCTCCTCTCAGGAGCAGGCTAGGGTTGCGGGGGAGGCTGAGTGGGGACCTGTGGGCTCGGTGGCCTCTTGTGCACTGGCCTCTCCATGGCATCCCTGCAACCCTCACCCAGCACCCTGCTTCTCACCTGGTCCCTGCAGGGGCATCCTCTGGGCCAGCCTCCCATCCTTAACCCTTCCCATTGCACCCAGCAACCCTCTAAGGTCAATCCCTAGTCACAGCTGCTCACCTGCACTGCTCAGGGACCATGAGAACCTGGCAGCCAGAGACCGCCGGCCTGTCCCCACCAGCACTCTTCCTCCTGACTCACCTCGGGTCAGTCTGGTGTCCACAGCTGCAGCCTATGAGTGCTCTCAGGGCAGCTGAAGCCTTGATCCAGCCTCAGGCTAGCCTGTCCCTTCAGACCACAGGGCTCCCACAAGGCATTCCCGAGACCCTCAGAGCCCAGCTCAGCAGTCCCATCCTTCAGCACTCCAGAAGACCCTGTGAAGCGGGTCAGACCTGGCCCCCGCCACAGAGAGCTCATGCAGGTTTCAGTTCCCCCTAAGTGGGATCAAGCGCTGGTGGGGGTGGGGTCATGAGACAGAGAAGGGAACCAAGCCTAGGAAGACACATCCCAGCATGGTTTTACCGGGGATGGCCTCAGACCTACCCCGCCTGCCCATGAACAGGTGTGGCCTGCTGTGTCCCCAGCAGGGGTGGTCTGCAGGCAGCTTGGTAGCCAGAGATGGCCTCAGGGAAAGAAGGGTAAGTGCTCCCAGGGCCTGAGCTGAGGCCTGGCTTCCCAAAAAGAAAACTCCAGCCGCAGACTCAGATGTATGTGATCAAGCAGTCAATGCCCCTGGAGCAACTCATGCTCCCCCTTCAGGTTCTAGCTCACACCACCTCCTCCAGGAAGCCCACCTGGCCTGCTCTGCACCTTACAGCCTCTCAGACCTGGCTGGAACCCCCATCAGAAGTCACTTGTTTGGATATGCTCCCATGTGTCCTGGCAAGGACCTCAGGCTGCACATGGTCCCATGTCCAGGGCCCTGCCCCTCAGGGCCACACCCTCTGAGCAGCTCAGGCTCCAGCTCCCTCTGCTGAGATTCATAGGTCAGTGCCAGCCTCAGACTTAGGAAGGTGAGCATGTGGGAGGTAGGGGAGGCCAGGGTTGTAATGGCAAAATCCTGTACCCACTCTGTCTTCCCACCCCTCTGAGAACCCCTCAGGACAGGCCTGGGGCACCTCCTCTGGGCCAGACTTAAAGGCCTTCCCAGCCCCAGCGAGTGAGCTGGAACCCTTCTCCCCAGGTGAGCTACACTCCCCGCCCTGCCCAACCTCCAGCAGGCTGGGGTGCAGCCGAGGAGACCAGCAGCAGCCAAGGCTCAGGGTGGGATGCTCTAGACCTGGGGCTGTGCACCCTCCTCACCACCCTGTAGACCTGGGGCTGTGCACCCTCCTCACCCCGCTGTAGACCTGGGGCTGTGCACCCTCCTCACCCCGCTGTAGACCTGGGGCTGTGCACCCTCCTCACCCCCCTGTTGACCTGGGGCTGTGCACCCTCCTCACCCCCCTGTAGACCTGGGGTTGTGCACCCTCCTCACCCCCCCTGTTGACCTGGGGCTGTGCACCCTCCTCACCCCCCTGTTGACCTGGGGCTGTGCACCCTCCTCACCCCCTGTTGACCTGGGGCTGTGCAGCCTCCTCACCCCCCTGTTGACCTGGGGCTGTGCACCCTCCTCACCCCCCCTGTTGACCTGGGGCTGTGCACCCTCCCCACCTCCCTGTTGACCTGGGACTGTGCACCCTCCTCACCCCCCCTGTAGACCTGGGGCTGTGCACCCTCCTCACCCCCCCTGTAGACCTGGGGCTGTGCACCCTCCTCACCCCCCTGTTGACCTGGGGCTGTGCACCCTCCTCACCCCCCCTGTTGACCTGGGGCTGTGCAGCCTCCTCACCCCCCTGTTGACCTGGGGCTGTGCACCCTCCTCACCCCCCCTGTTGACCTGGGGCTGTGCACCCTCCCCCACCTCCCTGTTGACCTGGGGCTGTGCACCCTCCCCACCCCCCTGTTGACCTGGGGCTGTGCACCCTCCTCACCCCCCTGTAGACCTGGGGCTGTGCACCCTCCTCACCCCCCTGTTGACCTGGGGCTGTGCAGCCTCCTCACCCCCCTGTTGACCTGGGGCTGTGCACCCTCCTCACCCCCCCTGTTGACCTGGGGCTGTGCACCCTCCCCACCTCCCTGTTGACCTGGGGCTGTGCACCCTCCTCACCCCCCTGTTGACCTGGGGCTGTGCACCCTCCTCACCCCCCTGTTGACCTGGGGCTGTGCACCCTCCTCACCCCCCTGTTGACCTGGGGCTGTGCACCCTCCTCACCCCCCTGTTGACCTGGGACTGTGCAGCCTCCTCACCCCCCTGTGACCTGGGGCTGTGCAGCCTCCTCACCCCCCTGTTGACCTGGGGCTGTGCACCCTCCTCACCCCCCTGTTGACCTGGGACTGTGCAGCCTCCTCACCCCCCTGTTGACCTGGGGCTGTGCACCCTCCTCACCCCCCTGTTGACCTGGGGCTGTGCAGCCTCCTCACCTCCCTGTTGACCTGGGGCTGTGCAGCCTCCTCACCTCCCTGTTGACCTGGGGCTGTGCAGCCTCCTCACCCCCCTGTTGACCTGGGGCTGTGCACCCTCCTCACCTCCCTGTTGACCTGGGGCTGTGCACCCTCCTCACCCCCCTTTAGACCTGGGGCTGTGCAGCCTCCTCACCCCCCTTTAGACCTGGGGCTGTGCACCCTCCTCACCTCCCTGTTGACCTGGGGCTGTGCACCCTCCTCACCCCCCTTTAGACCTGGGGCTGTGCAGCCTCCTCACCCCCCTTTAGACCTGGGGCTGTGCACCCTCCTCACCTCCCTGTTGACCTGGGGCTGTGCACCCTCCTCACCCCCCTGTTGACCTGGGGCTGTGCACCCTCCTCACCCCCCTTTAGACCTGGGGCTGTGCACCCTCCTCACCCCCCTTTAGACCTGGGGCTGTGCACCCTCCTCACCTCCCTGTTGACCTGGGGCTGTGCACCCTCCTCACCTCCCTGTAGACGTGGGGCTGTGCACCCTCCTCACCTCCCTGAGCCTCGCTTGCCCATCTGTGAAATTGGACTGAAGACCTGAGGTGAACAGAGAAATGATGAGCCTTTGAGTAAGGACGATACGGTATAGCAAAGCTGCAGCTCAGCCTGCCTTTGGAGAAGCCCCTCACCCCCGAGGGCTGACTTCCTGGCCACCATGTGATGGGGCCTGTGTGGTTGAAGACCCTCTGATCTTATGAGAAGTGGGGCTGGGCCTGGAACCTGCCACGGGGCTGCTCCGAAAGGTACACGTGTGTCTCCCATTTACTCACAAAATGGCAGAGGTGGCACACAAAATCGAGTCCCCTGCATTCCTGGAGCAACGTGAGTGGGGCCTGCACAGTTCCTTCTCGTTACCATCCTGTGTGACACCCCACTGACGAGGCCACAGTGCTGGGATCACCCCCATGGGCACAGTGCTCAGGAATGTGGAGCACACCTGGGATCTGGCCTCCAGCCATAGGGTCTATGCCCTCTGCTTCCTCCCTGCAGGCCCTGAGCACCATCTGAAGTCCCGAGAAGCAGCATCCCTGTGCCCCGTCCAGCCTCCAACCCCCAGCCTTTCCCAAGTCCCTGGCTGGGCCAGGGTCTGAGCTGGGCATGGAGAAGGATGGGAAGGCTGAAGCCCAGCCCTCCAGGCACCCCTGGGCGGGAACACCCCCGGCTCTCGGACCTCAGAGTTGGCCATAGTGACTGTGGTCCTGTATTAACGTGACCTGCACGTTTTCCGCCCTCCTGTTCTCCAGCTAGCTTGCCCCCAACACCAACTCTCAAGGCAGGTGCAGATCAACTTCAGCCGAGCCTGGTGGGCTCTGCTGAGCTGCAGTCCTGAATGACAGCTCAACTAGCACTATCGTGGGGCGACTGCGAGAGGAAGAAACAGTTGGTCCTGACACACTCGTTCTGCAGACCACCACTGAGCACCTCCTGGGGGCCAGGCCCCGGCTGGCTAGTACGCTTAAACCACGTTGTATCAGTCAGAGAGACATCTAAGCTGTTGTAACAAAGCACCCCAAATACAGCGGCTAAAACAAAACAGAACATTCGTCCCCCTCCTGCAACAGTCCAGCCACTGCAGGCCTCAAGGGCAGCTCTACTCCATGGGACCACTCAGGGACCCAGGCTCTTCAGCCTGTGGCTCTCCCCTAGGGGCGGGTGTCCTCATCAGTATGCACCACATCGCAGCCCAGAAGGGGCAAAGGCAGTCGTGGGCTAGCAGCTTCCTTTCGAGAACACAAGGAGACACTGCCCACACCACTTCTCCAATTCCAGGGCTGAGGATTTGGTCTTGTGGTCCCCCTTAGCTTCAAGAGAGGCTGGGGCATGCCATCCATTCCTGGGTGGCCATTTGCCCAGCATCTGGAGGGACAACCTCCATTTGGTGGCAAGAATGAAGGCAACATCTTAGCTTGGGCTCCCTGCAGTGGAGAGCGTGGACTTCCTGGGGCTGCTGTAGCTAATTACCATCATCCTGGGTTCAAGTGGCATCTCTGGGCCAAAACCAAGGAGCCAGCAGGCCCACACCTGCCACAGAGGCTCTGGTGGAGCCTTCCTCGCCTCTGTGGGCCACTGGTGGCCGCCTCCCTCCAGCTCTGTCTCCACGGCCACATGGCCTCCTTTCTCTCTCTCTAGTCAAACCTGCCTCTGCCTCCTGGTAAGGCCACACAGGACTGCATTGAGGGACCACCTGGGTAATAACGTCCCTAAAGATTCTGAATTTCATCACAGTTGCAAAGTCCTTTTTTGCCATAAGAAGTAACAATGACAGGTTTCAGCCAGAAGAACATCGATACTTTTGGGGCCATTCTTCGGCCCCCAACACAGACCCCAAGGCAGCAACTTAGGGCAGGCATGTTCTCAAGACATGATCCCAGGTACCACCACAGGGTGTGGGAGGAAGAGAGACTCAGAAGGAGGGAAGCCATCATGGAGCTGTCAAGCACTCGGCATCCTGGAAGCCACCAGGCTTGACCCCACTGGGTCAGCCCATTTGAGGGGTAGGGCTGAGCTGTCTGTCCCCACCCTCAAGTCACAGGTCAAGGGCTGCTCCTGGGAAAGCTGGATTCCCTGGCATCTTCAGCAGTGGCCAGAAAGCCCCCCACAGAGAAACATAGGTGCTGGCAGGTGAGGGATAGTGAGGTTGAGAGCCCGAGGGCCGGGCAAGGGGCAAGAGCAGCTTCGTGCAGCCCACCCTCCAGAGCCTCAGGACTGAAAGCTGGGAGAACAACAGAGAGACCTGGAAGGAAATGCCGGCATGAAAAGGAAACGTGTAGGGAGCTCTGACCGCATCGAGGTGGAGGGGACACTCCGTATCCATTCTGCGATCTGAGATGGCCTCTCCGGGAATGACACTGAATTGGGGGCGGCAGGCCTGAGGAGGAGCACATGCCAAGGTCCTGTGGCAGGAAAAAGCCCCGCCCCCGAGGAGCAGGAGGCAGCAGTCCAGGACGCCTGTGGCTGGTAAGCAGTGAGCCGAGAAGAAGCCAAGGGCCCCAGCAAGATGGGAAAGACGTGTAGGAGCCAGCTCCCTTTTCCCACCAGGCCACGGCCCCACGTTCCTTTGCCCTCTGCCATTACTGTCAGCCCCTCCTTCCCCAGCAGCTCCCTCCCTGTACGCTGGCCTCTGCTGCCTCTTCCAGCGGTCAGGAAGGCCCCACCTCCCTGAGGGACAGAAAAGGGGGCCCAGCAGAGGAAGCCTGGGGTGGAGGCAAGCAGGCCCCAGGCCCTGGCCAGGGTTAGGGGGGTGGCTGCTGAGGGAGGAGGGAGAGCAGGCTCGTCTGGTCTCCCCAGAAAGGCCCCTCCTAGCACTCCCGCCCCAGGAGTTATTTTTAAAATCTCATTTTCAGAAAGCGGAGGAGAAAACCTCTTTCTTTTGCCTTTTCTCCACTCTTTATTCTGTGAAAGCGTAGGAGAGGGTGTGGAGGAGGAGGGGAGCCCTGGAAGGCAAAGACAAGCCCTGGGCACTGTCCCAGCTTGGGGACCCCGGCCTGCTCCTGACCTGGGGCTGCCCCACCTCGTGGGCCCCACAGCCACCAGTGGGACCCTCC